TTTTTTCTGTTCTTTCCTTGCCACCAATTAGGACACTCACAACACTTTTACATTGATAGTAGAGGCAGTGGTGGGTGGAGAAACATAAATAGTGAAGAACTCGTAATTAGTCTTCAGTTTGGTCACACGCAAACTTCAAATTTCATCTTGGAAAAACTATAGAATAAAGAAATATATCCTATCATGCTCTATAAGCGCTAGTTACATATATAGAACAATATATGTCTAATTTAGGAAAAGAACGTTGCTTGCACACATAATTACCAATACTACTTGTACTTGATCCACGTTCTCCGGGCTGCTTGCACGCATGAAACTGCAGCAAACATGAAAGAAGAAAAGAACCAAGAGAGAAAAGGTGAACCCCCTTCATGTAGACGTTCCAAATACCCAGATCATGTTCCACTGCCGCCCGTTCCTTCCATCCTGGCAGTGAATCCACGGATGCTTCATGTGTAACAGCAACCGCACAACCATGTACCAATGACTGTCGCCGTAGAGTATCAGGCCACCACTCAAAAGATGAGCTCGAGCTAGGCCCGCCATCCATTGCATGGGAACGCAGTTCATCTACAAAGGACACAAAAAATCATCATCTTCATAGGAGAGGCAGACGACGACCGACGCAGGGGCAGCAAGCACCTGTCACAGGGATCTCCCGTCGACCACCTGCGCCTGCGCCGCCGTAGCAAGTAGCAATCGGATCCGCCCAACGCTCCGACCATGGCCAGCCGATGAGGGCGCATGGTGTGACGCAAGGCTTCTAGAGTCCATCCCGTTCTTGCTCCCGACGATCCACCGCTGGTGGAGGTGGTGGCCTGGTCGATGTGGTGTGGGGTGGGAAGTAGATCGAGCTGGCAGAGCGCGAAGAATTGAGGAAGATGGGAGGGGCAACGGAGGCTGTAGTGAATGGTCCGATGGAGGGACAAGACCCTTTTATAGATGCATACGGCGGTGGAAGATCTAACGGGAGCGTTCGAGAGGGCACGGTCGAGGGTGGCGGCGAGGCATCTAGGCGATCAAAGCAGCATCGCTGTCCCTGGAAGCAATAATACTAGACATATAGGGTGATTGATACAAAACTTTACAGGAAGAGAACGTGGCTTCATCTAACTGGCGCCCCCCTGATTTTCACTGATGGGCCTACCCTTCTAATTAGATCTCTGCCAATCACACCCCAACAGCCCCGTAAACCCCCTGTAACTTCCTGTACGTCTAGCATTGCTCCCCTGGAAGTAAGACGGCACCGCTCAGGGAAACAACACCGATTAGGCCACTGAGAACACGTGCGCAGACCGAGGAGAATTGGAAGCCCACGGAAGCACCGATCCACAGAGGAAACGAACTGGCCCACGTAGAGCAAAAAAATCGCTAGACGAACCAAGGCGATCGCCACACCCGTTCAAAAAATTTGAATCAAAAACCTGTATCCACAAGGCGTTTCTACCCCGCCAGGTACCAAATTAATACTATGTGCCACATGCAAATTTACCCAAACATTATTTTCATACAAGTGGCTGATTCTTGGAGCAAAAACCTTGTCTGGAATAGATGCTTGAGTATTAGGCTGGCAAGGAAGAAGGGCGGTGCGAACACGTCAATCGGTGTGGGCTGAATTGTAGAATGGCAGTGAGATAGTGCAGGTCCCAATCACAATTCAATCACACCTCCTCCACTATCCATCCATTGGATTCAACACTTTTGATAACACGCATTAGCTTCAAAGTCGACCAGCACAAGCAGCCGGCCTTCTTTGATCAAGTCTATTGGTCTATTGGACGTACTGTGGTGTCTATTTTTTCTGATTCTGAAAAAATATGATTGGCCTGGTGCGATCTTGTGTTGTTCGTCCCACTGTTTTATACTGTGATCTTTGTGTGATGTGAGCACGCTGTGTAAAATGTAGGATTCGCTCGGCCACTTTTTGAGAAACTACTCCCTCCGTTCTTAAATATAAGTCTTTCTAGATATTTTAACAAGTGACTACATACAGAGTAAAATGAGTGAATCTACACTCTAAAATATGTCTACATACATCCGTATGTTACAATCAATCCATTTGAAATGTCTAAAAATACTTATATTTAGGAACGGAGGGAGTAGTAATCATGCATGAGTAATGCACATCTAATTTGATATTTTCTTGATAACCTTTACAACTTTGTGTTTTTTCACTCTCACGACTATCTTATCTCACTGCACGAATGCTGTCTTAGGATTAGCCTTCTAGACATCTAAGCCATGTCGTGTACCAATATGGTTGTAGTCTTTTGCATCGACTACAGACCACCCTAATTTCTTTATCAAAGGATGTGATGCGCCATTCAATCTCAACTTAGCGCGGCAAGATCCTGGCTCACGGCATAGGGTCACCATCATGGGTCATTCTGCCTCTCAGCTGCTCCGGTCGAGTTGCATGTGCTTCTTCCGCATGCACTAGTTCTAGTTGGATGGCTCGACCGTGCACTGCAGTTGCCAGTTGGACCAGGTGGCTTTGGTAGTCACGTAGTCCGCTTCCTCACATCGCACTTTGATTATTATTTACAGAATTACGTTGTTTCCAAGATTAATTATAATTAATATAACCAAATATTTTTTAAATTAATTTTGATTAATGCAATTAATGTTCTTTTCAGATTATTGGATGTGATGCCACATCATCAAAGTGGAGTGAGACATTGGATATAGGTGGTTTATGGCTGATATCGTTCATATACACCAAAATCATCCTTTTTATAAGTAAAATAATTGCAAAATTAATCGCAATGAATGAATTTAATGTTTTTCCAAGATTAATTGTGTTCTAGATTTCATGTGATGCTCCATAATTGCAGCGGCATGAGACGCTAGAGACAGGTGGTCGAATGGATAGGATCACTTTATTCATCCAACTCTTTTTTTAGGAATACTGAAAAAAAATTATCATTTGGATTCGTGGGAACTATAGGAAGAAAGAAAACTGGCAAATAAAGGAGAGGAATTCGGCCGGGGTAAAAGACCACGCCCTTGATAATGGAGCATGGAATGGAAGGCTTTTCCAGCCGGCACCCGCTCCACCGTACCGAAAGTTGCGAGGCACTTCACTATTCTCCATTTCTTGTTTCAAGAAACTATTCTCCATTTCTAAATCTCCCTCCCCCCACCCGCCATCTCTGACTCCTCTCTCCCTTCCCTTCTAAACAAGAACAAGGACAGCAAGAAGACGAGACCTCTCCTGCAGTCAATAATCCCATACTCACCTCGCTTGGCAGAAGAGAGACTTTCTTCCAGGGATAAATAAGAACATAGACTTGTGAGCCCCTCTGTCTGAAAATCTGATCGACCTCCACACATCAGTCACTGTTCGTCTGCCGGTGCAAGCCACGATCCGGGTCCGGGGCCACCACCGCAGCGGCGGCGGCGATCTTTTCTCTCCGTCACCGCCGATCAGGCAGAGAAGAGCGGCGGATCAAGGCAAGATTTGCAGGCGTCTTCAAGCCCAGGTTTGCGCTAAGCCACTTCTCGAAGTCGTTCTCCGTTAACCCCCTCCCCTGCTCTTCATCGCAAAAAAAAAACCTCGCCTGCTCAGTTCGCCTTCCGTTTCGGCCATGAATGAATACCTGAGAACAAGAGAGTCTGAACAACATTCATAATTTCCGCACATTTTCGTCTTAACTTAAGCAATGCTTGCGTTTGCTTAGCCTCGACCGTGTTTTCTAGCGACTCCATCCATGCTCTATGTGTGGAGTGGAACAGCGACGGCCATGCCTTGCCTGGTCCCTTTAGAGCTCTGTGGGTGCTTGCACTGTTGGATTCAGCTTTCCTCTTTCCCTTTACACGTTCTTTTCTCTCCACCATTTCCTAAGAATTCATCACACGGTATGTTTGCTACGGAGTACTGATAGCGATGCCCCCATGGTCACTACTTAAATCCAGCCGTCTCGAGCCGGTGGAAATTCCCTGCGCAGGACAAAATCACATGGATGACACCGAACCATCTTGCCTTCAGTTGCTTATTTCTATGCTTGCTTCCATAGAGACTAGTTCATCCAAATTGAGTACCCTATTTCCACCAACAGAGAAATGGAAAGTAGTTGCTTTTGTTACCATATAATAATAACTCAGAAAGTACTCACTCTGTTCACAAATATTTTTGAACCGGAGGCTATGTTCTAACTTTCTTGAATCGGATGTACATAGACACATTTTACTATGTGTGTTCACTCATTTCGGTTTGTACGTAATCCATATTAAAATATTTAAAGCATCTTATATTTGTCAACGGAGATAGTAGGTTAAATGGTCACCTTATGCATCAATGCCTGGCAAGGTTGTGAAACTCTAATGCTTCTTAGTAAATAACATAGAACTATCACAATTCAGATTAGGATTCGAAAAAAATAAATCCCTCTTTTTCATATTAATTGTCGCAAAAAGGTTGTAGTACTGAAGTTGTGACAATTAATATGGATTGAAGGAGATGTGAAAATGTTAGGGAGTGGTAGGTTTTTGAAACCCTAGCTTGTATTATGGTAGTTTTATGCTATTTACTCGATGCTTGTTGGTGTTGACTTCCAGTGCATTGCTGTCGATTCGTACAAGCGAAGTGTCTAGCTAGTGTAGACAGCAATTCAACCCCATTTACTTGACTGCATCCCTACACTGTTCCACTGTACTACTAGTATCTAAGTAGTGACAGTATATTCCTCGCAGGGATCATTGAATTTTTGTAGGCCAGCCATCTATTTTCATTGGTCAGTTGCAATTAAGAAAGCTCACAGAAATGGCCAGTCGGCATCACTCTGATCCGGTCCTTCTGGTTGTGCTGCAGCGTGTTGAAAATATTTTTACACTTTCCAGACTTTGTCAAGTCGTGACATGTAAGATGACACTTCGACGTGTCCAACGATGAGCCATCGCAGCTGCAGATTTGTAAACATACGGCATGCTGTTCTGAAGTCCCGAAGGGCCACTCCGCTACTGACCAAACAGTCCTACTATCTGGGCAGGGGCAGAGACAGATGGTTCCCAACGACGCGAGCCGCGGCGGCGAGATCGTGGAGGTCGTCGTAGGCGAGCCGGCCTCGCCGTCGGCCGCAATGCGGCTCATGGACTTCATCCCCATCTACATTCCCACCGTGGAGAAGGGAGCGCTGAACAGGGGCGCGCGCAAGACGCGGTTCCTGGACTTCCTCCGCGCGCGCCCGTCCAAGAAGTGGTTCCTCCGGTCCACCTTCGTGGGACGCCTCCGCCGCAGGAGCCAGGTCACGGCCGGGGACGAGGAAGACGGCCGGGACTCCGACGGTAACGCTGGTGGGTGCCGGCCGCGGAGGAGGCGGAGGCGGTTCCGCGTGCCGTTCGTGCGGAAGATCAGGTGGGGCAAGCTGTGGACTCACGTGGTGAGCTGGTGCAGGCGGCCGGCCAACTTCGCGATGATCATCTGGCTGGCGTTCGTCGCGGCGGGGCTGCTGCTGCTGTTCCTGCTCATGACGGGGTTGCTCGACGACGCCATCCCGGGGGACGACTGGCGCAAGAAGTGGTCGGAGGTGATCAACCAGATCCTCAACGCGCTCTTCACCATCATGTGCCTGTACCAGCACCCCAGGATCTTCCACCACCTCGTGCTGCTCCTCCGGTGGCGCCCCGACGGCGACCGCGAGGCCATCCGCAAGGTGTACTGCAAGGAGGGAGCGCCGGTGCCGCCCCGCGACCGCGCCCACATGCTGGTGGTGGTGGCGCTGCTGCACATCACCTGTCTGGCCCAGTACTTCTGCTGCGCTCTGTTCTGGAGCTACTCGCGCACCGACCGGCCGAACTGGGCTCTCAACATCGGCTACGGCTTCGGCACGGGGCTCCCCGTCATCGCCGCCCTCTACTTGGCCTACAGCCCGCTGGGCCGGAAGCAGGCACGCGACCCCGACGCGGAGCCGTCGTCGTCGGGCGAGGAGGCGAACGGTCACGGCGGGGCGCCGGAGAACGGCGGCCGCGACGTGGAGATCAGGATATACAACCGGTCCGTGGTGGTGAGCAGGCCGGAGTGGAGCGGCGGGCTGTGCGACTGCTGCGACGACGGGACGGTGTGCGCGCTGTCGGCGACCTGCACCTTCTGCGTCTTCGGGTGGAACATGGAGCGCCTCGGATTCGGCAACATGTACGTGCACGCCTTCACCTTCATCCTGCTCTGCGTCGCGCCGCTCCTCATCTTCAGCGTCACGGCGCTCAACGTCTACGACGACGACATCCGCGACACCGTCGTGGCCGTGGGCGTGCTCCTCTGCTTCTGCGGCTTCCTCTACGGCGGCTACTGGCGGACGCAGATGCGGAAGCGGTACAAGCTGCCGGCAGGAGGTGGCGGGCGGCGGGCCGCGGTGGGCGACTGCGCCAAGTGGCTCTTCTGCTGGAGCTGCGCGCTCGCGCAGGAGGTCCGGACGGCTAACTTCTACGACTTCGACGACGATCGGTTCGTCGGCCACGGGGCGCGCAACGAGGAGGGCCGCGCCGTGCTGGTGCCACTGCCGCGGGAGGCGTCCACGTCGACGCACTCCCGGAGCCTGTCGTGCCCGCCCAAGATTGACGCCATGGCAGCACTGAGCGGCGCCGGCACGGGCACACTGGATGAGCAGATGGTCGACATCGCGATGGGGAGGTCGGCCACGTACAACGGCTATGGCGATGCCATGAGCCCGCCTTTGCCGCCGCTGATACAAATGCACAGGGAGAATTAGTTGCTACTATATGTGGATGTGTTGTAGCGCAGATGAGCTCTCCGTGTGCTGTTGCTCGATGATTTCATGCTATATGCGCGTTTGGCTGCGCCCAACCTAAAACAGAACACCATAAACGCAATCAAAAAGGGCAATACTATACATAAAGTCCTTATGAGAACATAATGTTTTATTACATTATTCAGTACATAAACAGATGGATAATTCTTTGGGAGCGCCTATGGCTCAGGTGCCAGCAAATCTTATCACTTTCAGTGATTTTCACCATTGCATTTAGAAAGTTCCGCACAGAACGATTCAGTGATTTGCAAGCCATATCCTATTTGCCGCTTAGCTTTATTTTATTTTTTTCTGTATAAATTGAAAAAACTAACGTGTGGAGAGTCAAACTAGGGATCTACAGTCCCCGGTAAACTGCGGTAACCACCCAACCATAACACTTTGCTGTGATAACTTCTTCATTTTCTTTTTTTTTCCTTTTCCTTTTCTTTTTTATTTTCTTCTTTACTTAAATTCATGACCTTTTCCAAAATCGGTGAAGTTTTTTTTACAAAATGATGAACTTTTTAAAATTTGTTAACTTTTTACAGAATTTCATGAACTTTTTTCAGAATCGCTGAACTTTTTCTAAAATCAACGAATTCTATAGAAAGTTTTTAAAATTCGATGAACTTTTTTCAAATTAGATGAACTTTTTTTCAAGATTCATAAACTTTTTTGAACATTGATGAACTTTTTCAAAATTTATGATATTTTTTTCAAGTTCAATGCTCTTTTAAAAAAGTTGATGAACTTTTTCAAATTCAATGAACTTTTTTTCAAGTTCATGAACGTGTTTTGAAAGTCCGTGGAATTGTCTGAATTCACAATTGTTTTTCCTTTTGTTGCGCTTTTTTCCCCTTTTTTTCTCAAATGTGAAGGTGAACATGGGCCAGCCAACCAGCGCTGGCGTGTGGGCGGCAGGGAGCTTCCCTGGCGCCTGAAGCGCCGAATGCGAGCTCCAATTAGCAATACTAGGACGATCAAAGCCCAAAGCCCGACAAGGAAAAAGTGATATATGTTTACGCCCAATCAGTCGAAGGCCGACAGATAACTGGATGGCAGGTGTTACCGGAAATCCGTTGTTGCTCCCCGGAGCGCGTGCTCCTGCACACAAAATATATATTTTGAAGTGTGAAAAAATTTCAAACAAAAAATTGACGCATACATTTCGACATTATATGTGTGCACGTTAAGTTTCGGAGAAAACCGATTTTTTTTGCTTGTGTAAAAAGACAAAAGGTTGTCTTGTGAAAAGCATTTTTTAACACCGGAGTTTGTTTTTTTCACACGCGACACATAAGTTGTCGTTTTTTCGCGAAACGATTTTGTGAGCATGTACAATATCGAGATGTACGCGGTAAGTTTTTGTTTGAATTTTTTTTGACATTTCAAAATATATTTAAAACATATTTTAAAAACCAGGAGTGCACATCCCATATGCCAAAACGCCACCTTGACGTACTAGTAGTGCTAGACACTAGTACTAGGTATTAGTACGTACTATCTAATCTAGTGGCTAAAACTAGTTACTATACATGCAAAGCACTTGTGCACATACTCTGCTTTGGCAGGTATATTTGCTTCACACACATACATCATAATTAAAAATAATAATAGAGGGGGAAAGGGGGAGAATTAAAACCCAAATTCTATTATATAATATTTAGCAACCATCATGCTAAATCTTTTAATTAGAATCATACAGTAAATTGCATTTCTCACAGAAAAAATCACTAACATTTTACACCATTCGCTTTAAGATGTGGATTTGTGATCAACCCAACAAGTTGGTTAAACAAAATTGTTGTAGATCAAAATACTGTATGCAAATTAAAGAACCATGTAGTCAGTTAAATAACAAAAGTAATGATTTCAATTCACATTTGTGAACTGAACAATCTACAAATGGGCAAGAACAAAAAAAAGGACGACTGTCTATTAGGCGTCTTATTTTTTGACATTCAATCAAATTCATTTGGAACATTAGATTGAAAATTAAACGTCATTATTCATCTTGTTCCTCCATTCATATTTTGTTCCTTGAAAATTAAAACAAAATCAAAATATAAAGTTTTCTAAGGATGAAAAAATTATTTGCATTGGTATTAACCTTAAATAAAAATTAAAAATAAAATAAAATAAGCAATGATAGTGCAATTTTTGCACTCTAGTATATTTATGCGCACACTATATACTACTTGTGTGTATACCCACACAAACAAAATCATTTTTTTGAATTTTTCTAAGATAAAATGAATTAGTAGCATTGGTATTACCCTTAAAGAAGAATAAAAAACTTAAAACAAATAATGAAAAAAATTGCACACAATTTACACAAAAAATGCACTTATTAAAATATGCAAGAATAAACATATAATAGTGAAAAAAAATCCTTCAAATAAAATTTACACACGTATTTGTATAGTACTTGCATGCATGCACTTACACAAACGTAAAAATCAAAATATACACATAAAGGAAAATAAAAACCTCTAAAAAGGAAAATACATAGAGGCAAACACGCATAAAAACATGAAAATTTTGACTGAACATATTATTTTCCATACGCGTATCAAATAGAACAACCTAAAAAAATTTAAGGTTCCATGACTACGCTAATTCAATTTTTTTTGACTGGACAAATTATTTTTCCAGATTACGCTAATTCAAGTGTGACATAACCATCATGTGATGGAAGGTGTGATCCACGACACCAGTGGGTAGAAGCTGCAGTGCCCCTGCCTGAGCTTTGATCTTCTTCAATGTGAAGTGTTTAAGGTCGTATACCACGAGAGCTTGAACATTTGAGTCATGGCGATCGTTTTGTGAACTTGATTCACCGTCTCTGAAGTAGACACGTCCAGTCTTGATATCCGGGCGCGCCCTCAGCATAGAACCTTATGTGAGAAATCAAAAGGTAGGAATCATGGCTAACACGAAATCCATGATTTGATGCTACCATGCACTAGAAGCATAGAAATTTGATTTCATAAGTCCACATGCTTGCTGGGCAAATTTTGGGTGCACAAATTTAGTGTTCTTGAAATATTGTTTTGTTGCAGCAATACATGTCTACATTAGAAGCATATGGTAAAAATCAGTACATAGGAACCTTCCTGGAAGCATGGAAATAGATTGAAATTCTGTCCATACATAGGAAGCATGAATACTGTGAAGAAAAAAATATTTTGCTATCACCACATAAGTAGGAAGTGTTGGAAGCACATAAATTTGACGATGCACAATAACATGCTTGCCACTAATATTCGGGTGCAGAAAATTATTATCTTGAAACGTATCTCATCGGAGGGCCAGCCCTCCCCCCCCC